ACGAACGGAGAACGTTGACTAGAACAGAAACGGAACGTTGACTTCGGAAACCAGGGCGTGGCACCATCAGTCTTTTATCAGGAGGAGATCCTAACGAGCAACAGCTGCTCGTTATCATCTCCTGTGAGTTCTCAATTGTTCCTTATGTCCGTCAGCCCTTCTCCTGCATGCATCCCGAAAGAACTCACAGGAGGTTTCTGTGTCAGTGTCTCTCACTGATCCAAGGCTCAGTCATTACCTGGGGACCAACTAGTCTCTCTGAGCCCTGCTCAGAGTCAGAACCCTGTCCTGGGCCCTCCGCCTCGTCCAGGCCTGACTCATAGGACCCCTCACTGTCAGAGTCTGATAGCAGCTCCAAAGGCTCCTGCCGAGCCACAACAGTGACATTTTTCAGTGCTGTTGTAACTTTGAAGGGTGACTAAATAAACAGTTGTAAGTCGAGAACTTCCTGTACTAACAGCACAAGTTAGCCTTCTCTAGTCTCTTCCAAAAATCTTGGGACTCAACCTCCTCAAAGGACATATCACCGTGATGGCAAACCTATGGCATGTTTGCCACAGGTGGCACATGGAGCCCTCTCTGCGGGCACACGAGCCATCACCCAGCTCAGCTCCACCGTGCATGCCTCCCGCCGGCCAGCTGATTTTCAGGTCTCTGCCGTGCATGTGGGAGATGTGTGTGCTTGGGGAGTGGGGGGAGAGTGGGCGGGTGCGGCTCCATTTTTGGTCCCAGGAGGCTTCATGGAGGCCTGCTAGGCTCAAAATGGGGTGCGGGTGTGTGTGTGCATGTGGGGGGGAGGTTGGGGGGGTCACGCGCACATGTGCAGGGGGACAGAGCATATTGCATTATGGGTGTGGGCACATGCATGTGTGATTTTGGCACGCAAGAAGAAAAAGGTTTGCCATCACTGGCATATTCGATGGCATCAGGTTGGAGAAAGCTATGATAGAGCCATCAGGAGCAATTGCTGATGATTAACGTCTCCCTCATGAAGTTTTCCAAATCAACATCTGTCTTAAAATGTATGCTAAGTTTCCTCAACCTGAGATCAGATGAGAACTCTGGTGTAACAAATCTGAATTACATCATTTCAGAATGGCTGATATCAGCTCACAGCCATGATAGCAACTCCAGCCTCAAATTCCATAATAATTGAATATTTCATGCTTTACAGCTTTGTACAACATGGTTTATTTGCTTCCGGCTTAGCATGATGTCTGAATTCAATTGCTATGGTTTATGGTATAGGATGAGGACCCATGGCCCTTTTATGACTTGTGGAATCAACTTCCAGAATTCCGGAGACAGCATGAATCAAGGTGAATCAAGCTACCGGGGCTTATTCAGCAAATCACCATTTAAAAAAATCCATATAGCATGAAGCAGGGATGTACCGGTACTTATTTGGGTTTCTGAACAGCATCTGAATCTACTAGTGTCTATTTCTTTGGGTGATTTTATTAGATAGGAGTGGAATGTATTGATTTCTCTTGTTATCTTTCCACTTAAAATATCTCTCAAGGTGGTCAATAAAACTATAATGAATATGTTACAATTCAAATTCGAACTCTTCAATAAGAGAGAAATAAGTGTGCTCACCAGAATAAAACAGTACAATTTTTAACTTAAATGCTTCTATACCACTCATGCTCCAGAGAAGCCCGGGATATTTTAAATAAGTAAATAAAATGTATTTATAATTTAAATAAAATCACCTCAATAAAAAGACAAATACATTAGAATTCATTTTCAAAAACAGAAAAGCTAAACCATTACCTGTCTTTAAAAGTAATTTGATTGAAAGTTATTTGAATAACTAGATGTTATTTCATAAATGCCTTGATGAATGTGATGTGGGAAGCCCCCTCTCCTAGAAGAATGAAATATTTTGAATATTATATTTCCCTAGATGAGAAATGGAGAAACATTTTTTTAGAGGCAGGAAACAGCCCCAATCTCCCTGCCCCCAAGCAGAAACCGAGGATGCACCTTTTAGAAATGCAGATTTGGTAATCCATTCAAGGAAGGATATTTTGAAACTCTGAACAAAGGCAGAATGGTAGGATTAGAAGCAAGCCCCCTCACTCAAGATCCCAAACAGGACGAAAGCCATTAAGCCACAATAGGAATTGTACTCTATCCCCATTGGTATTTATATTGTCTTTAGAAGTGTTAACAAGGATAATACTGAAAGAAACCCAAATTAAACATCTGAAAATTAGGAAAGAAGTCTACAAATTGCAAGCATTTGCAGACAACTTAGTTTTTATTCTTGAAGAACCACTAAAGTCGGGTTTGAGGCTGATGGAGGTACTAGAAGACTACGGGAATGTAGCTGGATTGAAAATTAATAAAGATAAAACTAAAATGATAGTTAAAAATATGACGGAGAAGCAGAAGGAGGAAGTGGCCAAGGGAATAAATATTCAGATTGGAAAAAAAATGAAATATTTAGGAATCTATATAACGGCAAGGTGTACATCAATCAAAGAGGACAACTATGTTAAGTTAACAAATTATATAAAGGAGGATTTGGAGAGGTGGAAAAATTTGAGGCTTTACTTCATGGGAAGAATATTGGTGATCAAAATGAATATTCTACTGAAATTATTATTTTTGTTCTAAAATATTTCCATAAAATTAGATAAAAAGTATTTTGGAAAATTGAATAAAATGACATCAGAATACATTTGACAAGGGAGGAAGAAGGCGGGGCTTAGCAGTGAGAAGATGGAGTTTCA